TGGACGCAAGCTTTTGATGAAACACTAATGTTTATGTTTGTGGAGAGGCAATATCAAAGTATACACGGCTAAATCTCCGTAGATTAACTTCCATTCTCAAATAATTGACATGAGCTAATAAGTACACATTATTTGTAAAACGATCGCAGCTTTCATTCGTCATGATATTAAGTTCATTTCCGCGTTTCCAAAAATAGACATCTAGGTCACACCAAGGGAGGTAAGCGGTATGCAAATGAGATCCCAAGATTCATTGCTCGAGCATGTGCAGAACTACTAACCTAGTTTTTTTACACTCTATAAATAGACACAAACAGGCTAAGGGAGGTAAGCGATATGCAAATGAGGTTTTTCAAGACAAACTGATTGGTCAATGAACATTGTGACTCTGAATCAACAGTGTGAAGACGAAATCTGAGCACTCAGTACCAGTTAGAGAAAAGCAGGAAGCTTTAGTCAGTAGCTTAACAACTGTTAAATCTATCTGCATGTAATTTGAAAGTGAAAGTGACATTTGACAGGTTAAATTTCTGCTGAGACAGAATGTCATTCTGTTAAGGTTCTGCATCTCAAGTCCTGTAATCATATAAATGAATCATTTCATTTATAATTATGATGACATTTATGATATAATTAGTTTAATGTTAATAGTTAAAGTAAGACAGTTACTATTTGTGTTCATACTTGTTAAAGTGGCTTCCAGTTGGCATATTTCTTTTGATGTAATTTGTTTTTGAATCACTGAACAGAGTGAAGAAATAAAACAAAACTTTGGTTGGAATTGTAGAACTTTATTATGCACAAAATATTACAGTGAAGTTACATTGGTCTGGCTAGTAACTTTTTTATTTTTCTAGTAAAAGAAAACATTTGATTGTCAAAGGTCTAGAGCCCTGCTGTTATTTTTATAATATAGCAGTCAACATGCCGCCCAGATAGATACTGTCAGAAAACACAAAGTTAGGACATTTCAGTCAGGTTGGCCTGATACTCATCGGTTATGACTGACTTATGACAGGGAAGGTGATTTAATATTTTGTACTATTTAATAGTGAGTGAGTTAATATTTAACGTCACATCGGCAATATTTCAGCCATATCGTGACGAGAACATTTGATATTGAAATGAAATATATGTATATTATAAAAACCTGCCGACGAAGGACAGTAAAACAACTAGAATATCACAGATATGTATGTAAAACTAGTAATTAAATCTAAAACGTTATAACTATAGGGAAAACAATACAATATAAAATGGACTATAAATCGCCAATAACTGAAGGTAGATCACCAGCCCAGGGACCATGGGGACTTACATTACTTTTGCTACCTACATGGATCCTAGTTGGATTTACACCATCCCTTCAGCCATTGGCGACAGAAGAGAAAGCTAGCCATAAATTAAAAGCACACATATTCTACGATTAAAAACCTGGTACGCTTAAATTGACTAAATGTTTTGGGACTTACGTACCCTCTAAGGAGGACAATAATTTTACAATACTTCAACCCCCTTTGAGGGTACAGCCACTAACAATCTCAGTTACTAATTTAAATTACCAATAATAAAATATTTATCTATTTACAAATCAGTTAACAAATCTAATTCTCTTAAAAATGCAATAATTAAATGAGAACTAACATTATTAAAAAGATCCTTCATAGTCTTTACTTTGAAATAGTTATCCCTTGTGATGGAATATTCGATGCAGTCAAGCAAGACATGCTTGACTGTGATTCTTTCATCACAAGGGATGCAAAACGGAGGATCTTCGCCTTTAAGCAAATACTCATGGGTATACCTTGTATGGCCAATGCGACATCGCCGCATAATGACCTCTTCAAAGTACTATTTAATAACTATGTACTGAAAATGGTATGACACAAGATGCTAAATGCAGAAAGTTTTAAAATATAACTTTGACCAGACATCTCATCATAATGATAATAAACTGTCCGTTCAGGCTCCAAAACTTTGTGATGATTTCCAGGTTGCAACTGCACGTATGTATGAAAAACAAGACAAAGCAGCTGTCGCCTTGATGAAATCTGTTCATTGGTTAGCTTGTGAAAACATCCCACTGACAAAGTTTAAACGTTTTGTTGACATTTTATATGAATTTGAAAACGAAGACACTGAAATTCTCAAGGAAGGTAAAATCAACTATGATTCTCCAACCACTGCCAGTGATCTGTTAACATGTGTGTTTGATGTGATAGGGTATGAACTACAAGTTAAAATGGAAGAGTCTCCATTTGTTACGATTTAGGTACTACCAGCTCTGTTCTGTGAAATATCCCAGACCGGTCAGACTCACCTGTGCAACCTATAGTAACAATAAACCAGTTTGAATAATATTGGTGGCGTTAAGTTTTGTTAGGGACTCATAAAAGTTCTGAGGGACTCATAGTTATTCAGCTCAGTGAGTCCCGGGACTCAGGCAGTTGAATTTGTAGATTTATCACTGGTATGACATGGATCAAAATATGTACTATTAAATACTTTATATCGAAAATTCGAGTGGTTCGGGTGTTGAGTATTTTACAATGGGAAAAAGTCATTTCACGTATGGCTGATACAAACCGTATACATGTATATATCGGCGTTATTGATATTTCTTTTGTTAACTGGTTAACACATGGACAAATGTTGCACTGTAGGCAGGGGCAGCTTTACAGCAATACAATCAAATGAAATCAATTTCAACGATCAATAGAACGCATTGGATGCTAAGCGAAAGAACTGGAATGATTGCTACCTGGGCTTTCATTGTTGCAATGGGTACATGAAAACAGATTGAGAACTCTTTTATGATTACAGGACAACCATATCACAGTCCTTCCGGCTGGACACTTACGGGCATAGCTGGACTGACAGTCATTAGAGATTTTACCATGAGAACTATGTAAGTGTTGATTTACCTATTCTTGTCCCTGAATATGATATTTGTTTGTGCGAACATGCTGTTCACAAAGCCATGTTGTCGATACTCGTGAAGATCCGGGTTAGAATATTGATCTTCAGTAACCCGTGCTTGTCGTAAGAGGCGACGAACGTGATCGGGTGGTCAGGCTCGCTGACTTGGTTGACACATGTCATCGGTTCCCAATTGCGCAGATCGATGTTCATGCTGTTGATCACTGGATTGTCTGGTCCACACTCGATTATTTACAGACCGCCGCCATATAGCTGGAATATTGCTGAGTACGGCGTAAAACTCAACTCACTCTCACTCCATGTTGTCGACGGTATTGCGACAGGCATAAAGCACCCGGGTTTGATTCCTCACATGGGTACAATGTGTGAAGCCCATTTCTGGTGTCCCCCGCCGTCATTTGGATGGAATATTGCTAAACGCGGCGTAAAATTAAACTCACTCACTCAAACCAAGGTGCACCTCATAGACTAGGGGGCAAAAAGAGTATACGTTTAATATAACTGTTTTTGATTGTATTATGTATATTGTGAACGTAGTATAATAATATTAACGATACATAGACAAGCGTGCGTTTATCAAACATTCAATGCTTACAGCTAAGATGAAAAAAATGAAGACATTTACTTTGCAACTATTGCATCCCACTCCTTCAGTTTAGTTTGGTTGGTATTAGATGAAGAAAATGATCCAAACAAGATGCGGCTTCGACACTTCACCTCATCGGCCAACATTGTTAGCTCGCTCGATGTATAGTTTGACAACCTGTTCCGTTTTCGTGCACTGCTGGTAGGCGCCTCTGCCATGTCGAAGTATTGATCGTCGTCTGCTGATGCGAGCAGGGGAGATAACTAACAACCGTAACTTTGGACATAATTGAGTCTCCAGCACTAAAGATTTCAACCTTAGTTGGTTGCTACTAAGTGTCCTTCCAGAGTTAAGGTTGACCAAAGGTAGCTTTGTACAACGGGCATAACTTTATGTTAAGGTTACCTTAAGGCTAACCTTAGTGACTAAGTTCAACCTTAGTAAATGGCTGTGAGATATGGGGCTTAAATGGTGCACCGGAAATAGAAAAAATACATCTTAGGTTTTGTAAAAGAATACTACATGCCCATCCTAAAGCATCAAATGCAGCAGTTTATAATGAACTTGGTAGAACACCATTGTGCGTAAATAGATATTGCAGAGTTTCACGTTACTGGTTTAAATTGTTATACACAAAAAACATGGTATTGAAAGCTGCATATAACATATCACTACTTTACTGCGATAAAGTTGAAAAAAAATGGTGTTACTCAGTAAAGGAATTGCTGTGTAAAAATGGTTATGCATATGTTTGAATAGATCCGTACTCTGTTGACTGTATGTCATTTGTAGCCTCTTTTAAACAACGCATGTATGATAATTATGTGCAGAAATGGCGAAGTGAGTTTGAGAAAACTAGCAAACTTATATTGTATTCGAAAGTTAAACAGGTGTTTGAATATGAATCTTATCTTAATTTGATTCCACAGAATCTACGATATCATCTTACAAGGATCAGAATATCATGCCATAAGCTACAAATTGAAATAGGACGTTACAAAAATATCGATCGAAATTTGAGATATTGTGAATTTTGTATGTCATCTGGTACACATGTTATAGAGGACGAATACCATTTCTTGCTTGTGTGTCCAAATCACCATACAAACAGAGTGAAAAATATAGATAAATATAACTGGAATCCTCCAAATGAATTTAAATTAATAGAGCTGTTGCAGTGTAAATCTAAATCCCCATTGTTGTATCTGGCTAAGTATATTAAGTTGTGTTTGTATGAAAATAAGCCCAGCCTCCATTACCTAATGTAAATCTCCGCAGAAAACAGACGAGGGACGGTTAGCCCAAGTCTTTGAAACAAATATACAATTGTCTTGTCTAGTAAAGGTTGTTTTGTACAACGGGACCCAAGGAAACGGTGCGCACGATAAATACAAACAATGAATAAATAAAACGCAAAAATTACTAGACACTGATAGATGTCATCACGACAAACACGTTGAGAACTCATGTATTAAAGGACATATAAAATCCAGAAAATAGGTCAACCTATCATACCACATCCGTCTTGACGGGCAGAAGTGACTGGCAGTCATTTGAGATTTTACCATGGAGAACATGTAAGTGTTGATCTACCTGTTCCTTTCTTGGAATGTGATGTTTAATGTTTGTGCAAACATGCTGCTGACTTGAGAGGACGGGCACAGCATAAGCATTTGTGGCTTTGAACTAAATATTTTTAGTCTACATTTGTATCCTGTCTGAAGTTTGTCCTTGATGGGGGTGTCCGTGTGTTCACAACCAGTTGTAGTGGTAGTAGTAGAGGTTTTCATGGTTGATCATTATATATTTTTACCTCCTTGTTTTAACCCCGTTTGTTGACAACAGAGACTCTGCACTTTTTTACAACAGACATAATTCATCAATTAAAGAAGATATCACGTTTAGCGCCCAGCCCGCGATGTTGCAGCTACAACTGCGAACGCACACACAAACATGCACTTGACTAGAATATTATAGTGAAATAATCCAAAATGGAAAGCTAGCCCATTCAACCCCATTTCATCTCTACTTGTAATTTTATTTGTTTGTTTAGTGTAATATGGCTGCCATTTGCATACAGGTTGTTATTCAGTATGGTGAAATAATCTATCCAACCCTTATAGGAGCGGTTTAACTGGTTCAGCCAGTTTGTCGAGTTCTTACTGTCGGAAACAAATGACACAAACAGAAAACTCCAGTTAAACTGAACACTGGTCCCATTGGAGATTTAGATCTTGTGGTAAATTTACACTTGCTCCATACAAGACCATAAGAGCATTGCAAGGAACGTACCGAAGGGAAACTATAATGGTTTTGGGACTGAGTTATGTAAAGGGACCAATGATGTAGAGATGATTATCGTATGTGAGTCGAAATGGAGGGTCCCGTGGTACTACTTGTACAGAATCAAGATTATAAATACCCAGGGGTGATGTATACTTTCTTTTACATGTCAGTTTAGCATCATTTTCCCCGATATCGCATTCGTTTCACATTGTCTCCCAGATTGGCCAGGCAGAGTTTGAAAACATGGACAGCTTTGATAATGGTTGGAATATTTCTTTTCGTTGCGCAAAAGTCATTCTTCACAAAGGACAGACAGGATTGTCCAGAGGTGAGAATATGATCCAGAAGCTTCTGCTTTTGAGTCGTTGAGTTGTTTTGTTCTTTCAAGAAAATGTTGCCTATAAAGTCTAGCCACTAATCACTGTCCCTTGCATAACTATTTTGAAAGCAGTTTTAAAGGATTATTGTAAATTCAGTGTACAATTACGGTTGTGACTACAGGAAAGATACTGGAGAGCTTTAAAATAGAATCGTAATGATATAATCTTAATAAAGGGTCATGAAATTTTTATTGTGTGGAGCTTGTCAACAGAAAATAAATGTTGTTCTTTCATGAGTTGGTATCTTCTCAACAGCAACCCCACGCTGATATCCTGCCCAATGCTCATTTCCGTCATGTGGATGTGATAAGGAAGGTGAGACTGGTATTACGATTGAATCATATTTCGGAGACCTCATCCCCTCTCATTTAGTACAATGTTTCTTGTACCTTCTTTCTTCCAATACATCGTATTTTTATGACCTGCTCAGAATCCTCCCTTTATAGATGTGTGTTAATTTTTCTTGACCATTTGTTTATTATGTTTTGTTTTGCTAACTCGGCGCGAGGCATGCATTCCTTATTGTTCACTTACAGAAAGAAGAGGACACGAAAGTTGTCGCACCAGACACCTTTCAAGGAGGTAAAAACGACGAGGAACCTTTTGCAATTCCAACCGACGATGTTTTAAAGAAAATGTCACTTGAAAACTTGTCGCTACTTTATCACAGGTAAATACTCTCAGAGAAGAAAGAAACGCATTAGCTGTCTTTAAAACGTGATGTGGTGTGTGTGTCGGGGTGGGGTGGGGGTCACTTACTTTGTTACTTTGCAAATACAATTTAGGGAAGAGGGGGGGATTTCCACTGTACGTGCTTCTCCATAAAATTCTTCGTGTGAAGGTGATGTCTCCAACACCATCACTCAACCCCACCCCACCCCCCCTCCCGATGAATGTTATGTGCGGAAATACGACAAGCCAATCGAATACGCCTATGGATTGAAGTACTTTCATAAATGAAATCCCGTGTGCTTCAATCGTTTATGTAATTACGTTATATGGTTAAAAATGCTGAATAAAAATATATCGTCATTACAAACAGCATAGCTATCATATTTCAGTTGAAGTGTTTAATAAGGATAGGGCCATTAACGCTGCGGGATACTGCAGTAAGTGTTTTCTCTGACGATTTTGCGGTCTTGCTTTGACGATTTTACGTACGCATTCCGATTGTTTACAGGTAATTTAATTACCACCAGCTTTGAGTTTGGCAGCAAGGTTACATGAATGTTCAGTTTGATATAATAAAGTCATTTTAGTGTCTGCTTTGGGACTAAACTCTTTCAACACCAGTCAACCAGAGGCATTTACTGCCATGACACCGAGTTCCCAGAGACTCTGAGGTCATAGATGAAGCCTATGTTTATGAAGGAAATTATAAGCTTGTAAAACGTTATTGCTACTACATCCCATACACCATTTAAAAGATCGGAGCACGTTTAGAATACAGCACCACAACTTCTCGTGAGGACGATCTCTGCCGTAGGTCACATGTCATTAAGACAAGCAACCAGTTTGTGAGAACCCGTCGGACGCGAACCCGCGACCTTCGGATTGATAGCTCGACAGCTAACCGACTGAGCTACGTCCACACTGTTACACAATGTGCAAATTTATCGAGTCATTCCTGTGACGTCACGGAAATGAACGGAAAGAGTCGAATAGGTCACGGACAATTACGAATGCTACGGGTAGACTTGGTGTCTCGTGATTTTATTCTTCGGACAATTGCCGAATGGATCCGATGCCATTTGGCACACTCGTCCCATTCCGTAATCTACAAATTAACGTGTGGCGTGGAATGAGCCGATATGCCTCAAACTGAAAAGGGTTGTTGACGTCAGGCGTCAGACGTAGATTTCACGGTGCATGCATGAATGACGCGCTTTTATATAAATCGGTGATTTTGTGACAGAAAAGTGATGTAGGGAACACTGTAAGGATAATGTGGATCGCACTAAGGAACGAGGGAGACATGAGCATGTGTAGTGACGGCACGAGGGTGAGTTAGCCTTCGAATCACTACTGAACAAAATTTATGTTGCGTGTGAAAGAGGCTTGAGTGCAAATTCCAGGCCAATTTCCATTAGCCCACAATTTCTACATTAACCCATTTCATAATGTACTTTCGACGTTTTTGTTTCCCGTTTTTGTGTGAAAAAAAAGTATTAAAATGCAAAAAAGAAAAACAACAAATGGTACTCACGTATTACACCGGACATGTACCTGCTATATTGGATTAGGTCCCTAACCCTAACCCCTAAACCCTAACCCCTCAGCCCTAACCCTAACCCTAACCCCTTGAAATAATCCTAATAAATAGAATGCATTGACCGAACCACCGGACATGTACCTACTATATTGCATTAGGTCCCCAACCCCAACCCTAACCCTAACCCTAAGCCCCCTAAGCCCTAAGCCCTAGCCCTAACCCTAACCCCAATACCTTGAATTAATCCTAATAAATAGAATGCATTGACCGAACCGGCACAAACACGACTGACGTGTCTAGTGTAATGCATTATTACCGCTTCGAAAAATAAAATACTAATAAAACACTTTTCTATGTAATGGTGCAAATTACTGAATGACAAAAATATATATGTAAATTTAAAAAATCACAAAATACAAAATACACAAAACATAACACCTCAGCAGCCCGTAATACAAATAAATATGAGTGTATTAGTGAAAAAAGAAAAATATTTCAAACTGGTGCTTGCAAAATATTGCGCATCCGCCGGTATACAACTACTGGAAACTCTCAACATCGTTGGGCTTATGCAATGAAATAGCTCGTAGAGATGAAACACCAGTGAGCGGAGCTTATACGCACTCGCTGAGCCAGACAACCGTGTTGCCATGCAGGCGTCATAGGGCATTGTATCGAGAACCATTCTCTTCCCACAGAGGTTACTCCTGTCATATCTTCCTACGTAACCTCTGTTCTAATACGGCCCTTTCATGGTGTGAGCGTTCAAGACTCGTGATTGGACGTAATCAGATTTAGTTGTGCAATCAGCGACGTTGTTTCAAAAGTGATCATTCGTAAGGCCTCGGTAATTTCCGTATACTTCGAGAAAACTAAACCTATTCCCCTGCGCGATGCGCAAACGTTTCTTCTAGACAGAACTCAGTCATGTTATGGCGGATCAGTGGCGTCTCCATCGCCCTCGTTGACAACGGACAAGCTAGCCGTTAAACGTCTTGTGTGTAACATCAACACAAGTCCCCGCCAGATGGGGGATATTTGTGGCCTCACATTTGCTTGTGTTAGTCAAGTTGAATCTAAGTCGATGTAACACGTGTTCTGATTGGATAGAAAGAAGGGAGATAATTCGTGTTGCGATCTTTGCCGCTAGGGGATTTTACGAGAACCCGGAAATATGGCCGTATTAGAACAGAGGTTACGTAGGAAGATATGACAAGTAACCTCTGTGGGAAGAGAATGATCGAGAACGTGCTTTCGAACAAAATCACATTACATTACGTAAAAGGGTATTATGACGGATTTTTAAAGTTTGTGGTGCTGTATTCTAAAGCTAGGCCAAAAGATCTAATCCTACTGTTGATAAATATGAAGTTTATTTTTATAATATTATTCAAATAATACAACAACAACTTAAATAAATTTATATTTGAATGAAAATGCAAGCTTCTTAACCCCTGGCTGCCGAGTTTTTTCAGGCGCACATTTTCATACAGTTTGAAAAGTGAACGTTGTGCGAGAATTGCTCTCGCGTGGTCCTGGATCTACGTAAGGCTATAAAATTACACAGAAATGTAGAATATTAAATTTCCTATCCGTTGGTATAAATATAAGTGCAACTACCTTGGCGGTTTGAGAAATAGACCTTGCTAAATGTTGTCCAAATTTTTGTTATGCGTTAAAAAACAGTAAATTTCTCCGCTTTTTATCGCGCACCGATAAAAGCACTGTGCTACGAATTTTTTAATGGGCCATCTTTACGGAAAGTGTGAGCGAAGGAAATACAGCCTGATATCTGAACGACATAAGTGTATATGAATTGGGTTTATGTGCTTATGCATAGCGTTATACGCTCAACATTAAAAATGACTCGCAATAAATGTCAAAAATGTATTTTCTTCTATGACGTCAAACGACGAAAGAGAGGTCATACACGTATAATGATAAGGGGGCATAACTCCGTTATGCGTAACACTAGGTCAATGTAACTCAGATCACTTGGAGAAAATGTGTTGTGGATACGGACGCTATATTTTCGTTATTTTATATTCTGGTGAACCTCACTATTCCAATTCAAAGTTCCCCAATGAGAACGGATGCGCTTTGGTAGTTTCACAATTTATAAGAAAAGATGACAACGTATTACATTTGAAAGCACGTAATAGCGATTTGAATGGCCCTATCCGATATATAAGTTAGTTCTTAGATTCCCATATTCTCCTGTTTGTGTAGATGTAATTTGACTAATTTTGCATCGTTATTACCAGAGTACTAGCCATATCTTCAAATGTAACGAAATTGCTGAAAATAATACAACATTTTACTTGACGTCATCGCTTGTTTTATGCATTTTGCGACGTCGGAAAACGACGACATTGGTATGCTGATTAGTATATATCTCACTTAATTTCCATTAATTGTATAAAAGGTCTAGACTTCTATGTCAGAATTTTACACTCTTTAGACAAAACATAAAATGACTGATTTTTCCATTTAAATAGTGTCCTGAATATATCAACAATTAGACAGTTTGACAGCGTATCTTATTGTGACCAACACGCGCACCTGTTTGGCATCAATTTAACGTAAATAAAATAATATTTCACAACACCCGAACATTTTGTTTGGGATAAGAATTTTGTTTGTTTATGATTATGAAGCTATTTCTCTTCATACGTATGCAATGACAGATGCATAAAGATAGCTTTTGATATATGGAACTATATATTAGAATATGGATATAAGATTTGTCCGAATTAACACATGAGATGGTATATATATTTTTCAACAATTTTCCTATGAGTAGTTAGAGTTTGATATCCTGTCATCACAATATTATTTAATCGAATATGAATTGAATATATTATCGAAAACAATGATAGAGAATCATAAAACGTTGCCAACAAACGCGCACCTTGCCGATCTATATGCATCATTCTTTTGTCTATAAAACGACACAAAATTATGCAATGAGCAAGACAATTCCTTTAAATATGTGTGCATGTACATTTCATACCATATATAAATAATTGTCATTAATATTATCAGTTTTGCGTATAAGGTTGAATCATATCACCGTTCATTAACCTGTTCATATGAAATTGCAATATTAGTCCAAATAAATTGAATATTGTACATCATAGGAACTAAAGTAATTGCAGTTATGGCTACGTTTGATCTTCTAACACTTGTGTAAAGGTTTAAAATATGGTGTATTGCAATAAATATGTCACTTTCTTATGTAAATATGATTCAAACAATCAAAAACTTTCAAAGAATAAAACACCGTAAACCCTATATGCATGTATGATATGATATTGAACAAGGCTAAATGTAGATACTGAAGTCAGTTTCATGAAAAGTATCCGAACTATGCGCAAAATATACATCATAATACTGACAGTGTAATCGGAAGGATATGACGATTGTGTTTACTCTTGTTCAACCGACCTTCACCTCAA